CAGTCTGGCCTTAATGTGTCTTTCCATTTAATAAAATGTTAGAAAAGGCAGCGACAGTCTACCCTCACATAGTTACTGCTCTTGTAAAGTTCTCAAGTTGGATATGCATCTGACTTTTATTGTTGGAAGTTTATTCATTCATGCCCACATAGACAGATTAAGGACTTAACAGGTCAACGCTATTTGTCTGTGTTGAAATCAAATTAAAATATGCTCGTACACAGATCCGGGCACCTACACGGTGGCATGTAAAGCGTCTCTGAATATTCATACAGATGATGATCTTGCAGCCCTCTGCAAAGTGCACAGCTAAAAGCCGCTGCAGCGACGATGTCATATATCATCTGTGAAAAGTAGCAGATGGATGAGACATTATTTTATCCATCAAAGCAGATTTATTTAAATAGATTCAACTCTCAATTGTTTTTTGTTTTCCACCCCACCCCCCATTTTGAGTTTATGAGTCTCATCTGCTGCTTTGAACAATTCAAGGTTCAAACCAAGCCTCCCTGCTCAACCACTTCAAAAGCAGAGTTCAGTTTACAAAGTTTTCATTTTCCTTGACATTTTTCATTTTACGTGAACGTTTTCCTCCCTGCCAACCAATTACGCCGGATCCAGTTTTGTTTTTTTCTTTTTGAGGTCATATTTTAAAAGCCAAAACCAATTTTCATGACATTTAACTGGTACATATTATTGTTATTGTTATTTAAAAAAAAAAAAACTACTAATTGCTAGTAAGTAAAGATTTGATTTGTAAAAAATGAAACGTGGATTCGAGGGGAAAATAATGGGTTAGAGTAATAAAGAAAGATAAAAAAATATAAATGAATTGGGAAATAAATGGATTTAATTGTATTCAGAACATTAAAATTGCTGTGCTTATAGATCTTAAGTGTAGACCAAAGTTGTCTGAATATATGTGTCTTTATAAATGTTTTAAATAGGACATTTAATAAACCTTCTAGTAGCCTCATTGAGACTCCACCACTGCATGTAAAACGTAGTGGTGGAACTTTTAGGGTCTGGGGTCGTTTAACCAATCATAATTCAACACATAATGAGGAAGACTACCTCAGATTTCTTCAGCATAACATCAGACTAGATGAGTGAAACAAGAGAACACAGTACTGCCAACCTCACTATAATCTGTTTGGAGAGGATATAAAGCAGGACTAAACACAATCTTCCCCTATTATTGTACCCAATATTTAGATTTCAGTGCCAGCTGTGCTCTGAATGCATAAAAAAACATCTGAGGCTGCTGCTTGATAGACCATCTCTTTGAACATTTTTTAGATTCATTTTTTGAGATTCAAGATACACTTGAATGATGACTCAAGAAAGAGCTGCTGACGGCTCCTTTCAAACATTATTCTTGGGTGTATAAGACTAACTAATTTCTTCTGAATTTACAACCTGTGAACCTCATTTCATTTTCTGCGTCAGAAGTTTTGGTAACACTTTATTTGACAGGTTGTGAATAAGACTGTTGTGACACCGTCATAAACAAGACATAACACCCGTCATGAACATGAGTAAGTCTTTGTGAATATTTATGACTGTTGTCGGTAAATTACGACACTTAATACAAAGTTGACATTATTCAAAATGTCTTCGTTATGACAACTTGACATTAACCAAGAAATCATAATCTGACATAAATGTGTTATGAAAGTATTACTGAAGTGATTTACAACAGTCATAAATATTCATGAAGACTTACTCATGTTTATGACGGTGTCATGACATTCTTATCCACAACCCATCAAATAAAGTGTTTCCGAAGTTTTTATTTAAGCTTTCTCATAAGCAAAAAGAAAAATAGGGACTTGACACATTAAGCGTCTTGTTCTTGTATTGCTCAATGAATTTCTTAAGGTTTGAGTTTCCTTTCTGTAAAAGAGGAGAAGGTCTGGGATTTGTTTTTTCACTTCCTAAATCTTAGCCTAGCAGTTTTCAAATGGTTTCTCTGGAAGTCTTTGGTGTCTTTGGGTTTTCCGTCTTCATGTGAGATAAACGTCTCCTGTCTTTCTCTCTTCGTCCCTTCCCCTGCTCTCCCTTGTTCTGATTTGAAGTTCAACAGGATTACAGGAATGATTACTGAGGGGAAATCTCCAGCCATCTCTCCTCACTCTCCTCCTCACATGCTCACCTCCCTCTTTACCTTGTTCAGAAACATCCAGTCGTTCATTCCCCAAGAAGCCAAACAATCAACACAAAGCCTGGTGTAGGGGCGGGTTCTAAATTTCAGCTTTCAGGAGCTTCTAAATCAGGGGTCTGCAACCTGTGGCTCTTTAAAACCTGACTAAGAGAGTCGAGAACAGACTATTTTTTAAAACACAGAACAAATGTGGATTTAGTTGTTTTTTGTTTTTTTTCTGCAAGGAATAAATCCTGTATTAAATTTCCACAAAAGAATGAGACAAGTATCAGCATTTTTTTTTCTCATCATGATATTAGAAATTAAGTAGTTTTTGTTTAAATGATTATTTTACAAACGAAAAATGTTTTCCCATGGAAGAAAATACTTTTTTTAATATGCTAAGAAAATTACACATTTTCTTCAAATATAAGAAAATATCCTATTTTTGTCATTTTGTCCTGTTTTTTTTTTTTTGTTTTAAACCCTAAAAGCAGAAATTAAATTGTGTGTTTTTTTCAAATGTCCCACAGTAGATATTTTTAAAAATGAAGATGTATTTTTTGCAAAATGTTATGGAACATTTATGACTCTAAAATAATTTTATTTAGCCAAACTACAGGCAAAAAGTCTCTTTGGTTTGTAAAGGTTGCAGACCGCTGATCTAAATCAATCTTCAGACATACACTTAATTTACAGAGAAAATCATTTTGTACCAAGGCCAGCTTTAGTACACAATCTAACTGAATTCCTGATTGGAAACTGTTCTGCGTTATTCAGGTTAAATTAAAAATTTGTCAGCAGTAATAGAAGCTCAATGTGAAATGCCTCATAAACCAACAAAAAACAACAAAAAAAACAACCTTCCTCAATGCTGCCACCAACAATTGCACTGCCATTTATCAACAATTACTCATCTTCCTCCGTGTTCGCCTGCTTTGGGCTCAAATCTCATTACAGCTAATCACTTCCTTCAAAGCACGATCAATCAGCTAAACAGTGATGAATAGCGCTTCTTTCTGATTGTCTGCTTTCATCGCTGTACAGCCTGGCTTACCTGTGCAAATCAAATTCTGAAATGTGCTGAAAATCTTTTACCCCGAGAGTAATTGCACCCATTTTGATAACTGAAAAAAACATTAGCGCTACTAAGTTTTATTTAGCCACTCTGAACTTCAATTAACGCAACTTCGGACACTGCATGTCCACCTGCATGCTTCGCGTTCCTGCTGAACTTCTGTTAGAAGTACTTTACCTTGCTTTGGCAAAACTACATCTTGATTTTCATTGGTTGTGGCATCGAGCTGTAGTTTCCTGTAGCCTCACTTCAGTCGTGACCTTAAATATCCCCTCCATACCACTCCAGTCTCACCCCTACCCCTCGGCGGCGGCGGCCGCTACCAGCCCTACAATCCTCCCCACAGACAGCCGAACCACCACCACCAAGGAGGAGGCGAGGAAGACCAAGATGCCTACTATCGTGGTTACCACTCCCAGTTTAACTACGAGCATCATGGGTACTACCCAGGGAACTCTGAGGATGTGGAGCTGAGGTCACCGGGCGTCGTCAGGAGGTTTTCACAAATTGTGGTCACGGAGGAGAACTGAAGAGGAAGAGCGGACTCACCTTAAGTGCTTGAGCCCCAAAAAGACTTCACCACGCGCGCACACACACACACACACACACACACACACACACACACACACACACACACACACACACACACACACACACACCATGGACTTGTGCACTCATCTGAAACTGTGCTGAGAACCTAACACCCTGCCTTGGTTTCCTCCACAGTTTAAAAAACAAAAAAAAAAAGACAAAATGTAAATATCTCTGTGATATCTGTATGATATGTGTGTAAAATGGAGGTCCAAAAAGTGCCTGATCTGTGTCCGCTTCGTCCAGTGATAATGCAAACCTTGAACCGGTCGTTTTACACCCTACATGCAGCTCTGTGAAGCGGCATGTGTCCCATCTGAGCGCGAGACTGGACATCAGGTTCCTGTAGCCCGAGGATTTCCTTTTCTCAAACCACTGAGAAAACAGTGGCATCATTTGTACAGACTGCTTTTTCTAATGTAACATGATACCCCTGCACCAACCCTCTATTTGTGTGTCAAACTTACCTCCATGTGCAGTATTGTTTTCTACTTTGCGCTTCTTTAGTTTCTGAACTGAGTTTGCAGAACCAGGTTTTATTTAAAAATTGAAGGCTGTTGCTTTTTGTCCTGCGATACTTCATTCTCTTCTCTCAAAATGAACAAAGTTTTCATATAAAAAACGAAGCTCTTGTGTCTTTTGTTGCATCTTGTTCTACTCTTTTTGGAGCGAGTAGCAGAAGCGTCAAACTCATTTTTGTTTTGGTCCACATCGAGATCATAAAAGCCAAACAACCGGTGTGTATTGATAAAACGACCCACTTGACAAACTGTTAAAATATCAATTTGAAGTTTTCTCTATATTTAATGAATACTTAAGATGAAATAATATTGATCATCTTTTCACAGATGTGATTTGGCAATACGCTGAAAAAAAACCTGTTTCGATTTGATAAAATATTTGAGCAGACAATTATCTCTTCATGTGACACACAAAAAAAAAAAGTTATGCAAGCTGGATTTGGTTCTTGAGTTTGAAATGTGTCCACTGAAGGTTGTGGCTGTTATGTGAAAACGCTTAAGCGGACACTTCACGTCTGACAACTGCAACCCTCGTTACAAATCAATGTTTACTTTCTACTTCTCTGCACCACAAAACCATAAAGCTCAGGAAAAAAAATGTCCTTGGAGACATGTTCAATAAAAAGATTTTACAGCATTTATATATATAAAAAACATTTTCATAAAAGATGGTTCATTAGACAGTTTATTAGCCTTTTTTACAGTTCACTTAAACGCAGGTCTCGACCGCTGATCTCAGCACTGTAACACAATTGTTTTCAGTGTGAAAAGCAAAAACAACTAGCTCTAACAGATGTCACATTTCCGGGCCAGGTCCGACTGCTTCACACTCATAGGGGGAACCAGCAGAATGGGATTTTCTCTGATCGGAGCCGAAAGCTGAAATCTCAAGCTGTTCCGGGATAATTTGGCTCTGCTGTGGTTTCGTTGCGGCTGGTGTCGCTCATGGAGAGCTTTTGTGCGAAGCCCTAGAAAAACAGAGCGGCAGGGTCCGGGGTTGTTACTGCTGGCACGGAGGTTGCGGCTTAGTGCTTGGGAGTCCGGGCAAACTTTGATGGCAGTTTTTGGAAAAGGAAGAAAGCTCTTATGTAAATTTACAGAACGGAGTGAAGTCAGATTTTTATGAAAACAACAAAATGTTTAAAGCCTGCTGCTTTCTGTGTTCAATATTAAAAATATCCAGTTGCTCCGGGAGCTTTGATTTCATTTCATCTTGTAGTCTTCAGGTCTGCAGAGAGAAGGAGAAAAAAAAAAAAAAGAAAAAGCAGCAAGAGAACATATTAGTATTGGAAGCGACTTCGAGGAAATACACAGACAGAAAGTGACAGATGAGAAAACTGGGCAGATCTTATCGGGTTTTTTTCTTTTTTTTTCCTTCCAGCATTTCAAAATGAGTGCAGAACTAGCATCACGTTTTCGTGTTTTCTCCCTTTAATTTCAGCTGACAGATCTTATCGCAGGATGCTGTATGGGTTTTGTTACAAAGTGAGAAAAATGTAATAGTTCTGCTATCACATACCGCAGAACGTTTGTCTTGGGCCTGGCTGGACAAACGTACCGCTGTACGTTTATGTGGAAAGTGTGCATTTGTTTCACGGAGGGCATTGTTCATCCAATCATCTCACACTTTTGCTCCAGGATTTTTCAGAAAGAATATTAACTATGTGTTTAATTCAGGGTAATGATTGAATCGCCCTCAGTGACCTAAAGCCTACATCCCCCGATGCGCGCGCACACGTATCTGTTAAGTAGAATGAGTCAGGAGGAGCGTGAATATTAATTAGGCTGAGATGTCTCTTAAATAAACCAGGATTGGTTTGACCTTGACGGCTGCACATCAGCTGGCGTGGATGACAACACTTGACAAATGACCAATGAGAGAGGGCCTTTCACCTGGAACACAGCCTCTGACAAGCAAAGAAATCCGCATTGCATAAATCAGGGGTGTCAAACTCCAGACCTCGAGGGCCGGTGTCCAGCAACTTTTAGATGTGCCTCTGCTGCACCACACCTGAATAGAATAATGGGTTATTAGCAAGGCTCTGGAGAACAAGGAGGAGGTAATTAAGCCATTTCATTCCAGTGTTTTGCACCTGTGGCACATAAAAACTGCAGGACAGCGCCCCTCGAGGACTGGAGTTTTGACACCCCTGGCATAAATGTAGGTATTATGAAGCAAACTGGATGGACACATGGAATGTTTGCTTAATTTAGACGTTTCAGCTCAAAGTTTAGAGTGAAATGCAGCTAGTTGTGTTCGACTTGGCTTTAAAGAAAAACACTGACATAAATTTATGCTTTGAAAAGCAATTTATGGCAAAAGTTTTTCGTTTTGCCTTTTTACAACTAGATTTTAGCATCAATCAGTGAAAACTAAAGCATATTTGAATCTCTGCAGTACAAAGGGTGTGAATACTTCTATGTATTCATATTCTTTTATAATATAAATATAAAAACACATTTATTTTATGAATATAAAGGTTGGGATAGGTTTCTTATTCCAACCTGAATTGCAGTTTTGCATTGATTTTCACTTAGCTGTAAATTAAACTTTGTTAGCTCTTAAATTGTGCGTTTGGTAAAAAAATAAAAAATAAAAGAGAGCAGCAGTTTTGACTTTTGCTCCACATGAGAAGTGGTTTTACCAGGACTATAAAACAAGACCTGTGTGGTTAGCAAGCTGTACGGTCCAAATGAAAACAGGAATGCCACAGGGAAGCAGCGCAGTACTTTATGTCGCTGTTGATATCTGAATAATTGATTTGAATCTGCGGTGAGCCCCCCTGAAGATAGCACAATTTGTCTCCACTTTACCGGAAAATCAGAGACAGACGCCTGAAACACACAAATAAATCCAGGGAAGAAAAAAAAAAAAATCACATTATGCTGGGGCTTGGAGAGGCAGGCAACAAAGAGCAACATTATTACGATTTTCTTTCACTAATGTCATGACATTCACGAAACAATGGTATGGTATATAGGGCAATTGCAGTGTTTGTTTGAAGCTCAATGCACTTATTCCAGATCCATAACAGAAAAAGTTAGGAGACTCTTATCCTGTGTGTGAAACATTCTGGAGAATCCACTTTTAATTTAATATGTGGATGCCTGGCAACCGCGCATTGACCCTGACCTGGACGATGGACAAGCTAATGGATTATCGGATTAATGAATGTAAAGGCTACATGTTGAACGGACGGCGACCGCTAACTCGTTAGAATGAAGGTGCTGCAGATGGGAAGGAGGGAGGGGGGAGTTCAGCGGGATATTATGTTTCCAGCAAACCGCAGGTCACAGTGTCAGTCTAATCTCCAACCTGAAAATACTTGAGCCAGAAAAGCCATGAATATGATTATGTTGAGCAACAGATGTCCACCCCCTGCTCCCCCACCCCACACACACACACACACACACACACACACACACACACACACACACACACACACACACACACACAGTAAACCCATCCAGTTGGGACAGAGAGGAGAAGAGCCAACATTCCCGTGTGTGTTTGTGACATTTGATCATTTCTGCTTCCAGGCTGAAGGGAAAACTCTTTTTTTTTCAGCGTGCTGCTGCTGCTGCTGTTATGCATTCGTCTTCATTCAGAATAAATCAGCTTAGAAAACCATAAAGGGCACTTACACCAACTTACATAAGAACCAAAAGCTTATTCCTGCGCAACAGAGCACAACACACTTCTTATTATGAATCAACTGGCTGCCCGGCCAAAGTCTCCATCACTGTTTGCTGTGCATATCCTGTCACATGTGACAGCTCAGCTGGCTGACAATCATCCACTCCTCTACTCACATGTGTTTGTGGTTAAAGTCCAAGAACAGCATCTTTAAGTTATTCTGCTGGAGGGGAGCAGAGTCCCAGTCAAAGCGGCTACAAGACAGTGGCTGGCATGCTTCCTGACATGAATCTGTTTAGGCATCCGTTGCTTAGGAGGACCAAAACAATACACAGCTGTGTGTGTGTGTGTGCGTGTGTGTGTGTGGTGTGTGTGTGTGTGTGTGTGTGTGTGTGTGTGTGTGTGTGGGTGTGTGTGTGTGTGTGTGCGGGTGTGTGTGTGCGTGTGTGTGTGTGGGTGGGTGTGTGGGAACACCTGGACTCTTCATTGGTGGGCAGTTCAGAGCAGAAACACTGAAAAAGTCTCGGTTTCCCATTTGTACACTTGTGAAAGATTTCGAGGCCCTTCCAGAATATCCATCCCCATTTTGTATTAAATTCTTGTGTGTTACTCTTTTTAGCAATCAGTAGTTTTATAATTTTGGTAACTTGTGCCAGCCATGCCACTGGAATTTTGCTATATTTTAATCACTGCATTATTTTTAGTTAATTCACTCAAATATGAATAATTCATGTAGCAACTAAAAGAAATCATGAATGAAAAGGAGCAGAAAGAAGTATGAACTTATATCTGCTCTTTATTCACAAAGAGAAAATTAGCTGTTCAACTCGGAAGACTATTGCAGACACAAAAAAACTTCAACTCATTCAATGTCATATCGCCTCATTATGATTTTTGCATTTCTTTTAAATGCAGATTGTTTTATCTCACTGTCAAAATTGTCCCATAAGCTGACACCTTAAATTGAAAAGTATCTTTCTATCATCGCCATCCTAAATCTACATTTTTTGGAAAATCTCAGGTCTTCCTGCAGGAGGTCGTTCAGGGTCATTTCTGTTTGATTTGCGGTCGTCATTTTATCACAATCACTTGGCCCAACCCAGGAGTTCAACCAAATTAAATGGGAACACAAAATAGTATTGTTTTTAAATAATAATGAACTAATTATGACAATTTATTATTAAGGGAAACATTACAATGTTCTGAAGAGATCTGAAATGGGATCACATTTTGTCATAACTGCAGTATTGGGATTTAATGTGACACACCAAAATGAAGTTGTGCATAATTGTCAATGACAACTTATTTCAAAGTGCCTTTCATCACCACTGCTCACATTATTTAGAGGAAGTAAAATAGACAAAACTGTGATTGTAGGAGGCAGCTCAGTTTTAAGCACAAATAAATGCCTGCTGGCGGCTACATACGGGATCCACAGCCTGGGGAAGGCATCGATCTCCTCCTGGGAGTATTCGCTGAGCTTCCTGGGAATTTCTCTGGGCTGAGGAAGCTCCTCTGTCAGATTGGCTCGAATGTCATCTGGCAACTCCTATGCAGGAGAGGGACAAAGTTTTAGGCCACGAAACTCGGAGAAAAGAAAACATCAAGACAGGAGTGAAAAGAAAAGTCGACCACAGAAGCGCATCAGATATTCTGCACAAGACATCAGGGTCCATTAGTCTCTAGAGTTAACCATCTTATTGTTATTCACTACAGACGGGTATGCCTACAGGTTCATTTAAGGAGCAGGCAAGAGTTCAGACTAAAATACAAAAGCACTGATCAAACACTTCAAACTTCCAAGAGGTACTGAAAAAAAAAACTTGTGCTGAATGTCAGATTCCACTGCAGATGGTGACCGAGCTCAGCAACTAACTTTGGCCACTAACTTCTCACATTTCTTCCCAAATATCACATTATGAGCAGAAAAATATCAGACACACATGGTTCTGCTTCATTCTTAAACACCCAGGTTTTATAATTTAATGACCTGCTGTCACGTGTGCCTTTGCCTTTCTGATAAATACAGACATTACATTGCAGGAAAACAATCCTTCCATGTTTTTTTTTTTTTTTGCCTTGTTTCGTGCACATATCTTAGGATACTTGAAATGAGACAAAACTAACTTATAGTGAACTTTTCAGCGAGATACAGGAGATTTTGTTTAAGTCAATAATTCCTCAATACTGATGAAAAAGTAGAAGTTTCACACTAATAACAGTATTTTTCCCATAGTATGTCAGTAAAACAAAAACCTTTTTCATCAATATTAAGCAAATACAGAAACAAGATACTATTACTTACATAAAAGGTACTTGAAACTTAGCTTTGTCTTATTTCAAGAAAAAAACTTACTTTGTAAGACTTTATTTTTTTGCAGTGTGTCTGGCAAATGTATATATCTGAAAGCCACTTAGTGTGGAAAAAATAAAACGATGAATGGATAAAGAGGAAACTGCTAAACAACAGAGAATAATTTTGGAAATGCAAATATTTTTCCATAAACCTATTTTCTTCTTATCCAAACTTTGAACCAGATTCCAGACACTGAAGCATGTGAATGTGTTAAAGCTGGAAACTTGCTTGCTGTTTGACAAAATCCCCAGAGGGATGTAATTAGTCTCTTTAGCTCCATCCCAGCTTAGCTCAGCAGAGCACAGCTAATTTTCTGCTCACTTCTGATTCTGATCAGGCTGCAAAGAGAATTACACACTTTTGTTTGTTTTGCTGAGTATCTCAGAGCGAAAACAAAGCTATAAGAGTTGCAGAAAGACATGGGGCAGGTGATCTATTTGCTTCAGCTCGAGTTTAAGTGGATACCCGAGACAAAGGGGTAACTTGTTTATGGAAGGAAGAAAACAGTTTGTAAAATATATATCATAAGCAGTGACTGAAATAAAAACAAGAGGCAACAATCATGCTTTAAATTAAATGTTGGCTGCAACAAACATAAAACAGCAGCATCAATAGGAGTTTCTTTAGTCAGTATTTTAGTAAATGTTCTGTCTGCAGTTCCCATACAAAAAGAAAAAGGAAAAATAAATGAATTCTTGCAAAAGGTTTGAGATCTGTGAACGAGCTCTTGCAGTCAAAAAACACATTATTACAACTCAGAGACATGAGGTGAGGGGACTTACATCCTCTGGAAAGATGTGCAGTCGTTGCATCATAGTGCGCCGGTGCAAATTTCGAGGCAGCATGCCATAAACTGCTAACCTCACTATCTGCAGGAAACAAGGAAGAAATGCACACGATGACATACAAGCAATTTAGTAATAATAATAATCATAATAATAATAATAACAACAAAAAGACAACTCTACACATGTCTGTGTTTTTCTTACATTTGCTTCATAAATGAAACCATATTTCATAATGTGAGAAGGATTGGACACGGTCTCCTGGACTGAGACTCTGGAGAGAGACATTGGGCAGACGCTGTGCTGACAAACTGTTCTGCCGTCCATTTTCCCAACTCCCGCTTCGCTGCAAACTTCACTTCAACTAAATCACCAGCAGGCCTCCCGTCTGATCCTGCATCAGCAGCAAAGCCGGCAGCCAACTCAATTCCTCCTCAGAGACGGTTGACGACAGACCGGAGACCGGAACAGGTCGTTGACCTGATCCCAATGCTTCCCACAGGACAGCAGCCACTTTTATGGGATTCTTATTTGCTTACGCTAGCTGCGCGTGGAGAATGTCAGTGGACGCTGCTGTTTCAGCCGAGTGTTAAAAGACTGTTTTAAGGGCCTCTTATTGTTTAGCATCAAATGAAGACAAGGAACATTTAGATAACTTGCTCGCGAAGGGGCAATGGATGGTGCCAGATTGTTGCCAAAAAACTGAATTTTTCTAGATTTATCTAGAATTTAAAAAGTACAAAATGTGCAAGTAAATTTTATTTAAAAACAAAAAATAATTAATCTTACTGCTGCCAATACATTGAGTTTTGTCCAAGTAGCATCTGCAGTCTTACTGAGAGTGATGGGTGAAATATTTAAAAACACAGACAATTATTTGTCTTTAGCCAAAGATATAATAGAGATATATAATAAATGGTTTGTACTGATAATATTAAAGCTGTCCCTACCAAATATTATGCTACAGCCGGTTGTTAGGACGTTGAACATATGGAAATTGTGATGACAGCTGTAGGTTTTGTTTTTTGTTCCCTTAAAAATAAACACCTTCATTTAAAAAGTCCATCTTATGTTACTGTGTGTTATCTTTAATAAATATTCAAAATGGTTTGATTTTGATGTTCTGAGCCACTGAAGTGTGACAGAAAAATAGAAAGTGGGCGAGCACTTTCTGATTTCCTGTGTTGCTCAGCTTTAGTGGACAGAAACACAACTAAATAATATACGTATACACACACACACACACACCATCTTTTACATCTTTGCTGTTGTGGCCTAAAATTTCCAAGTCAATTCTGCCTTTTACAAAGCAAATCTTTCATTGAATAAATAACAGATACTGAACAGCCTCTAAATATGTCAGTAGCAACAGTGAGATTTCAAACATGCACATCTTCTTTTTGCACAAACCTTGAGATTAAGTGGCTTTTTAAAACAGAACATGAGAAATTAAAAACCCTATTTGGGATTAGTTTCAGAAATAGATCATGTCACCTTATGGTCCCTGTGTTTAATAAAAGAGAGGAAGAAGGTCCAACTGATGTGCTTAATACACCGGTATAAAATTGTCAGTGTAAAATCACAAGGAGCCCGGCATCTTGTTTAACACAACACACAGCATAATCCTGAAATTATGAATATGTAAAAGAATCTGAAACTTCAGTATCAGCCTAAAACTGACAGAGGAATTCAAAAAGATATCAAAAACCACCATCATAAATCCACTTCTATCTAATCCCTCTTCCCTGTACCCCTCATTAATATGCACGAGCAGTGCATTTGAAAATAGGGATAAGTGTCAGATCAGGAAATGCCACCTCGGCTCGGGATCTGCCACGTGTCGACATTGTGCTAATCTCTGTGTGCGAGGCTTAAATCTGAAATGCAGAATACGAGAAAGAAGGTGGTGCAAGGTATCCTGTGCTGACATTTCTGATCGCTTAAAATTCAGTCTACATAACACAAACGCTAGGAAGCAGAGAGTTGGCGGCGCAGCTTACAGCTTTTGGGTCCTTTAGGTGAAGCTGAGCAGCTGTGACTTGTTTGAATCCACCGGGAAACCTTTAAGAAGACGACAAAGCCTGTCAGTTTTAATACATGCAGCTCTGAAAGCTTGAACATGTAGCTCGAGAAAGTATTCAACACATTTAGTCTCTTTTATTTATTTTTTTACACATAAAACTCTAGAAACAGTTTCAATTTTCATTATATGTTGAAATTTGTGGCCATTACAGGATTTGAAAGAGGGGTGTAAATACTTTTTAAAGGGAACCCTTCATCTGCTTTCAATTTTTATGGTTCTTTCAGAACTTCTTTCCCATTTTGGGAAAGATAAAGGTGACACATAAGGGCAAACAGCATCCTACAAGTTGATCATTTATTATCTCCTACTAGACTGCAGAAAATTGTGAAGCTGAAAAGGTAATGGGAGTCGTTTCTCAAACTGACTGATTCAAAACATTCAATCTGCTTAAATAAACATGAACCGAGGTCTTACAGGGACAACGGAGCATCAGAGAGTGAAAAAAATAAAATAAGACATATCCAACAAGCAATTTATTGACTGAGCAGTGCTGCTTACATTAATAAGAGCAGAAATGTTTTTTACAGGAGGTGTCTAATGCATTTTCAATCATTTTAAGCAGGTAAGGAGTAATCAAGTACTTCACTGAGACATTAACTGTGTACTTTTTCACTCTCCAAAATCCACTTAAATTACGTAGAAACGGTAAACACTGTTGTTAGTGCGATATCTGAAATAGGCGCAAGTAAATGCGAAGTTTGAGGTTTCCTATGACAATTTCTCTCTCATGGAAACACTGAATATAAAAACAAAACTGATGTCATATGCATGCCAGGTTGTTTACATGAACCAAGTGGTAGTAAGAACACAACAAAATGGCAATGCAAAAGGTCTGAAATTAGGTTATGGGATAAAAAAAAAATCAAACAGGAAACAAACAAACGGGCAGATGGGAATAATCAGCAAAAATAACCCTTACCCTGTGTGTGACGAGTAGACTTTCTGCTCCCATTTGTTCCCAGAGAAAGCAATGTGTTTGGTGTTTATTACCACTACGTGATCGCCACAGTCACCTACGAACAGATGAGAGTTTTATGTTGGTCTCTTTGTTCCTGCTGCTGGATGTTTAATGAGTTCAAGTTTAATGAAATAAAGACACTTTGTGGCAGATTCCCATTTTGGCGAACATACCAAACAATGACTGAATAAAGCTAAAGAAAGTGACTGATTTTTGTCATATTCCACTCGGTTATTTTGTTCATAAGCTTGTATTAAAACTGATGACTTGTGTTCAGGCACTTATGTCAGATGTGGATACTTAGAAAAAGAGAAACAATGAAGAAGCTAACCCACAAGCAGTGCAGTTTTACCCCATGTTTATGCTTTAAACATTATCATTAGAAATCTTATTATGTATTTGCAGTTGCTATGAGCAGTGCCATCATCTAAACATGCATCTGTGACCAGAGCGAAGACAACACCGGCAAATGGAAATCAAGCTGCCAGTCGAAGCCATTTCATTTGCTGATTCAGGCTGTACTAAAAATATCCTGCTAAATTTTTTTCAGTCATTGTGACACGTTTGTGAACCTTTTTTAAAACCAGCAGAATATTTAAACTGACAGAATTGCAGAAACTTTACTATAAAATATATCATCATTATCAATGCCTCTCCTCATTGTCAAAATACATTTGAACCTTTTTTTACTAAATTGACAGTATCAGCTATCTCTCTAGATTACAATGTAGATTTAAAAAAGCATCTGTTCAAAATATCGTTAGACATATTTTAAAAAACAAAAGCCAACAAAGATTAATCTAACTTTTAATTTTGCACAAACTGAACATTTTTATTGTAATAAAAACAAAAAAGCAAAGATATTTTTTTTCTAATTGGTCCATTGCTGCCATCTTGTGGCCATTTCACACTGCAATACATGTAACAGTGGATTGTTGGTAGTTTGAAAACAGTAGTTTGTGAAGATTATAGAAGCTTTACATCTAAAGCTGTGGTATGGAAGAGAATCCACTGATGCAGACAGAACTCACTGAGTGCATGGTAGATGGGCTTGTGCTTCCCCTGTAGTCTGACTGAGCACATGGTTGCGATCTTGCCAGGCGGCTGCATCCTGGCGTCGATGAGGAACCAGGATCGGGCAAACGTAGCCCATTGCTGTGGAGGAGCAAGAGGAAAAATGAGGACAGACTAATGGGACCAAGCTGTAGAAATCACTCTTTTGATGGTAAATGGCCTGCACTGGTACAGAGCTTCATCTCATCCAGAGGACTCCAAAGCGCTTACACTAAATTCAGTCATTAATGCACACATTCACACACTAATGATGGGGAGCCACTTTATAGCCACAGATGCTTTGTGGTACTCTGACAGAAACTATTAGGACCGTTTAAGGCAAAAAAGGTAGATGGCAAAACAGGATAAAGTTGATTGATTCCTTTTCTGCAATGAGTAAGAAAGAGAAGATGTGATGTATTTTTAAAGCCTGCATGGGCAACCTGCTAAATTGGGGATTGGATTTGAGATTCTTTCAGTTATCTTCCAAAGGGTTTGGTTCATCTTATTTGTCATGAAAATTAAGTGAGACCTTAATTTTATCATTACAGTCCATGCTTCTGCAATGCACAGCTAAGAACAGTTCACAATGCTCCAATTTCCAAAAGTAAACAAACATTTTTATTTATTTATTTTAATTAGACATGATTTAGTCTAATTACTGTTAGTACACTTTTCAATTAATTTTAAAAATTTATTAAAATCATACCAGAGTAAATGTTCCTTACAGTTTTATGCACCTTTAAATTTGGGCTGTATTGTTTTCTTTTTTTTCACAACTTGATTCAGTTTACCTATTTTGGTTTTTGCCCTCTTAATTTTTGTTTTGCATGTATTCTTATTATTGATTGTGTTTCTTGAAGAACCGTTTAAAATCAATTTTTCGATTTATCTATTTGCTTGTTTCAGTTTTTCCCATGTAGAGCGTAAAGATGACAGTGTTCTGTCACATGGTTTTGATGCAAGATACTTAAATAATGAAAAATGGTTCGCCTGTCTTTGATTTAGTAAATCTACTAAAATGCTTTAAATAGTGAACATGTTTTAAAAGACACTTATCTCAGTTATGTATAACACTTTCTAAAATATCTTAACAATTGGCTCCGTTTTATACACCCGATATGTATTAAACGGCGGAATTATGGGAAAATACAAAACAGTCTACCCAGCGAAAGCCGTGATATCAGTGGAGGGCAGAGCTTGCTTGCTAGCTTCTTTGCTAGCACTCTGGCTAGCAACGTTTAGCTAGTCCTCATTACGTTGTACGAAATATTCAGTTTAAATCACACGAAGACGACAATAATGATATTGATGGTGAATTACCTGAGCAGATCTGGTAAAACTAGACATCTTTCACGAAGCTATGCAAACATCCTCACAACATTTGACCCCCCTCCCAACGTGTGACACGGTACGTCAATTAATTTGTCACTGATGAAACACTTTTCGCATACTCATTAGTTCCTGTCGCATCGACAATTCAACTGTTTTTATAATCAGGCACATTAAATCATACTTTTACTCATATAACTTTGTCAGATTTTAGACATGATTATGAGCTGTGCTTATATATTTTTGGTCATCTTATTATGTTTTGTTGGACTAAAATACACGAGTCGAACAACACCTTTTGATTACAATACGCAATTGAGAAGCTATTTTATTATAATGAGATAAAATCCCATAATTTGGACTTGGCCATCTGGTAATTATGACATAGTCTGATTATTATGAAATAGCTTGTGTCATAATTTTGAGACACACGTTTGTTTGTTTTCATCAAAGGAGCACAAATATAATGAATATTCTCACTCTTAGCTGTACCTGTCAGCACTTTGTTGAAACACTCTCAAATCATTTTAATCAATCTGATGACAACTTTCAGCTGTCCAACTTGGACTTCTCATGCATTTGTCCAATTCATTATTTCACTAAAGTTATAGTTTGGAGAAATGTTGCAAATGTACACCATGGTACTACATGTAGTCCCCAATAAAAAAAGTTTTCATTGCATCAGAATGAAACTAATATTTCATTAGTTCCATAGATGGAGTGTGATTGTATCAATGTAGCACGTTTTCCCTTTGAAAACACTTGTTTCTTTTCAGCTGTCATATTATTTGTGGAAATAAATATTTTCCGCAATTTAAGGACATTTAAGGCGATTTCCTTAAATAACCACATCCCCCAATAAAGAAATAAATAGATAAATATATCAGGCTGAAATGGCTGATCTAACAAGGAGCGATATAATGAATACATTATTGATTTTAGGCTTGACAGGAGGCAACAGCCAGCTCCGGTGGTGGCAGAATTCGATGTAACACCGGTAGTAGTTACCTCACTTCCTGTCCGCGACTGAAAGAGAAAGCGGGTAAATTTGACAGAAAGTAACTCTGACGTCGACTTTTTACAGTAGCTCAAGGCTTTAGGAAAGCATTAACCGAGAATGAGGACCTTGGAAGAGGTGCAGGCCACGTTGGAGATCGCTAAACTAAAGGAGGAAGATTTACTCTCAACTGTCCACTGTCTGTCGTTTGGAGACAACGTTTCATCTGCAGACTACTGCCTGATGGAGCTGGACGAGACTCTGTGCAAACATATAGAATCTGGAGAAAGGTAGGCTGGAGAACAGATTGACAGTGATTGTCATTCATAGCACTTTTTTTTATATCTGTTGGTGTAGTAATCTCGAAGCTTTTTTTTGTTTGGATTCCCTGAATATCGTCAGTATGCCACTTTAGCCAAGCATCAGACTTACATCTAGATTTGTAGCTGTGCTAAAAGCCAGCTTGACAGAGTTTAAGGAAATTAAGCAGTTTTCTCCCAATAAAGTTTACATCTGAATGTTTTTAGGAATCACTGCTCAACAGTTTTACACACTTATTAGTTAAACTTATGTGTGTAATCAGCCAATCTCACCTTTTGTCAGCAACAAAACTTCACATCTGTCAATTTCTGGATTTTTTAAATTTTTATTTATTAGTAGTTATTCATCAAGATAAAAACAAACTACATCATATTAGGAAAATGATTATTAGAATACATAGATTAGACTCATAATTGTTGTCTCTTAAATTGCTTCAAAGTTGTTCACTTGTATTTGTTTGAGCTCTATAAATGAACGTAGTATATGAAAATTTGTCATTGATAAAACACACAGAGAGACTACCGCAACCAAGATGCTTCAGTATCTTTATCTTAATTAGTATCTCATCCACTGTAGGTAGTTTACTAATCCACCTCGTCTCCTTTGCCTCTGCATTTGCCAAATCAGATGACTTCCTTCACAGTACTTTTTAAAACTTTGTATTTAATTAAGTGCTGTCTGTGGAAATCCACACCTCATCCTCATCACTCACCTTTGTTTAATTTATATATGGAGTGGTAAAAACAATACATCATTGAGCTATGTCACATGGAAGTGATTATATCTACCTAAACTATTATTTTTTTGTCACCAGTCTTGTAATTCGGGGGGATAAAGACGAGCGTGCGGTGCTTTGTAGCAGCGACAAGACCTATGACCTGAAAATAGCAGACACGTCCAATCTGCTGCTGTTGGTTCCCGGCTGCAGAACGCCAGACCAACTAACTGACAAGCAGGACAGCACTCACGTGGTGCACACTCAGGTAGGGAAATCTCAGCTGAGCGTGAGCTTTAGCAACCAAAAAGCACACACACATGCACAGAAATAAAAACTATCAATAAAAAGTTTATTTAATTTTAGTAAATCCCTAGGAGAGGTGAAACTCATTTATATTGATGCTGGTGCACATTTTAGAAAATATTATGCTTTGATATCTCTGTTTTATAAACAATTATCAACTTATTTAAGCTTGTGTAACAAAGATATATGATCTTTACTTTTAAAGTCGAATTACTGAAATAAATGAATGTTAAGTGACTGTTATCGAGGCACACCTGTAGATAATCCTAATAAATGTTAATTTCCTGCTTCTGTCTCAGATTTGGGGGTTCTGTAATAGTTACTGGGAGCTGAGGAAACAGAGACCTAAACTGAAGAAGCTGAAGAAGCTTTTAATGGCGAATTCTTATGAAGGACCTGCAATAAGGGGACAAGAGGAGAACACAGAGAACAGGGTGATTGTTATGATTATAATTAAATATGTAATTGGCTGAAAACTAACAAGCAGTCCTGTTGTTGCAGTCATCAGTAAATAGTTTGTCTGTTGACAGTACACAATGGAGGATCTACTGGAGAGGGTTCAGGCCAGTGAGGAGGAATTAAAGACCCACTTGGAGAAGATCCACGCCTGTCAGATCGATGGTAAACAACAATAGCTTCTTCAGGAGTTGTGTGTGACTGTTTATTTTCATTTCATTGACATTTGAAAAGAGCCTGTCCTTCCTTTAGGTTACTGGCGAGTGCTGGACTTTGACTATGAGATGAAGCTTCTGGGTCATGTGACCCAGCTGGTGGATTCTGAGTCATGGTCCTTCAACAAGGTTCCCCTTCATACCAGCCTGGAGGAGCTGGCTCCACTGGAGCCCAGGTAAGGAAACCTAGATTGTTGACCGTTTTAAATGAACTGGCTGCTTCCTTATGATGAAAGACTTTGCTAGTTTTGTATGCACTGTGAGGTTTATTTTCTCTTAACCAAATGCGGGTTGTAATGTTTCCTGTTTTCACAGGGAGATGATTGAGCACTGTTTGAATTGCTATGGGAAACGCTACATTGAAAACGGTAAAGAATCTATGAAGGACTTTATTGCTTTACTGGTGACTTTCTGCACTACCACATTTGCCTTTGTTCCTACTTTGCTTCCTCTCCATAGGCGAGGTCTTCTATGAGTTGCACGAGGACAGGGTGTGTCGGGGCCTGGCGCTAATGCTGCTTCAGAATGCCGTCAAGTTCAACCTGAAGGAGTTCCAGGACGTCTGGCAGCAGAGTGTCCCAGAGGGCATGAGTACAAGACTGGAGCAGCTAAAGGTCAACAGTTTTAGCTTGCTAATTCTTTTGGGGGTGTTTTTCTGTGTAGCTTCATATGTGAATGAATTTTTGCCTACTCCTCATTAAAACATGGGTTCATTTTGTTGAGGTGAAAGCATGGCTCTCTTGAGGTTTGGACTTTTTTGTGGCTGTTGCTTGTTGACGAATAGTTTTTGGTCAAGCTTCAGCTGTTGGACAGATGGCCTCACCTTTGGCACAAGACCTTGGTTCACAGAGGAGTTTGTGTTTGTTTGAAACTCAAAATTAGCAGCTCTCTACCACCATGCTGTGCTGTGCAGGTTCTATGTTGTTGTTTTTCCAGACATAGTTTGGTGAACCAGCCATCTTTACTTCGATGTCTCTGGAAAGACGCCTTAAACTTCATTCAGATACAAAGAAAAAGACACTTTCTGCATGTAGCCATTCTAGAAGCAATGCTTATTTTTATTGAATGAACTTTAAATAGTTTGGAAATAGCCTATTATTTATTTGCGATTGATGGGTGGCAACAATGATTCCTTTAAGCTCATTGCTGATGTCTTTCTATCTTGGCAAAGTTACCCTAAAGTCCTTTTTTATGAAAACAACATCAGTGCCTAGTTTTTAAATGACTTTAATGACAGTTGTGAACATTTTTTTTCTTCTGCTGTCTTCATATGTATCTATAAATAAACTTGCAAATAATTTACTTTTCACTTTTAAAAAAAACAAAATAAACCAGTTAGGATTGGCTGGTCATATACTGACCTTAGCTATTGCACATTAACTTTGTTTTACTTCTTGGCATTATCTGCTTACTTATTGTTTACATTTTCTGACCCAGTACTGGCTGCTTCCTAATTCTTCCAGGGCGTCGCTCTGGTGGATCGGACGTCCTGCCCAGAAACCATCAGCCTGCTTCGAGTGGAAGATCTCCCAGAGGACACAGTGGAGCGCTTCAATCACCTCTTCTCACTCAGAGAGAAGTGGACGGAGGATGACATCACTCCATACATACAGTTAGTGGCTTCAGTTGAACAAACATAATGGAAAAAGATCAGTTAGTTTTTTTTTATTACTCTTTTTTTAGTTTATTAAAATAATTCTTTTTCCTCTGCATCCAGAGACCTTTGTGGAGAGAAGCAGACCACCGGAGCGCTCCTGACCAAATACGCTCGATCATCAATGCAAAACGGAGTCAAAGTCTTTAACTCCAGACGACCTGTGGCTACATAAACTCTCCAAGCAGACCAGAAATCAGTTTAAATCAGGACATTTCTGCAATTTTCTATCAACGAAATCAACTTAACTAAAATGTGATTCTGCAGTGAACTTGTACAGTACAGATTTTAAATCAGTTTGGATCGCTCAGTTTTGACTTTTTTTCGGCTCGGCAGGTGAAAAATGTATAATAAAGTGGTTATTAGTAGATCTGTAATGTTTTGTGATTTTTTTACTTGAACACATTAGCGGCTGCACTTCCAACTGTGCAGGAGTTGTTAGGGTAGTTTTCCACAAGATGGCGTGCTGCATTCAAATAATCCCCACATGGTGACAAACATGCAGCACTCATTCCTGTGGTAATCAAATTACTCTTAAAGCAGTAACCAGTTTCAGGGAACTTGGTTACATTTAAAGTTCTGGGTATGTTTTCTGTTACAGGAATTAATTCATATGTTCTTTTAACAGGAAGATATGCTAAGTGTTTCCCTTAATTTTACATTACACAAAATGTTATTGGAGCCTTGACAAAATACTTGTGCTGTGTACTTCTGTAAAAATCAAGACATTTTCTGACACATTTATGAAGTTAGTGTTAAATCTAAAGTCATTTAGATCAAATTTTATATTTGTTTTACGTGACTTAAGGCCACATGGGTGTTAATATTAAATTGGTAACATAAAATTTTCACTTAATTGTTTACAGTCGATTTTGAACTTCTGTACAAAGAGAGGTTGCAGTTAAATTTGCAGAGAAAGCTGTGCCAGAAAAAAAAATGGAATAAAGCAGAAGAGAATAAAGTTTCAACATTAGCATCTTGTTTGTGGATGTGAACAGATCTAAAAAAAAAAAAAAACAGTTCATGTTACATTTAGAGTGACCCTGAATACTTTATAAGAGACAACTAAATGCAGTGTGTTCAGGGTGATGTGAAGTTGGCTTTCTTCACATACTTTCCTCAGTTTTCCACGTGGCTGGTGGAAATCTTTCATTACTTTGTCAAGCTAACTGCCTGAGACTTCACCAGAGTGTGGTGAGCTCCTCTGCCTTCATGATGCCTTTTATTCTGAAATAGCCTTCAGTAAAACAGTTGGGAAAGCCATAGTTTACCCAGCAGCAATGCAGGAATATGTGAGAATATCTCTTATGTAAGTTTTTTGCAAGCCACGTAAAGCTCGTAGGTTTGACTCTGAAGTATTCATAGATTGGGTTTCGGCACTAACCAAACTGAACCAGTTTGGACACAAAGAGTTAACTGGACACACAAAAAGAGACGCATCCCTTGCCTAATCGGACACAAAGGCAGTGATTTTATCCGCAGTGGAGCTCTGACTAATCCTGACATCACCCAGTAGGACAGCTGACTTGTCAGCAAATAAGAAAAGAGGTCTCAGTTGTTTTATGAACTGTTATGTTGTGCATGATTCACACTTCCTCTAAACTGAAAAATTCTCCTGCCTGTCTCTCGGCTCAATTCCTTTTTCTTCTTCCTTTATTTTCTTTGTAGTCATCATGTCTAATCTTTCACTTCTTTCCACGAATTCTATAATCAGCTAATTTTAAAGTGTTGCATAATCTAAGAAGGAAAAAAATATTTAAAACATACATGTCGTGCTAAGATTCTTTTTTAATTTAGCTTTAAACTTTAGCTCTAAGCTATCAATATAGGATTTTTCTTTTCACCACTAAAAACCTGAAAATCATGGTGGGCATTTTTTATTAAGCCATATTGAAGTCCTAAAACTTCATTTCAATCCCGTATGGAGTCACAAACAAGGAAAAAATATGATGGCAGTATTATGCATTTCTTTACCAGAGATGGAAAAGCTGTTTCAGAGATGATTGGAAAGTTAAAGAATCTAACTGCAGGGAAATCCTGAAGGAAAACCTGGTTGATGCTACCAAAGATTTGAGATTGATATGGAGGTTCACTTCTCATTACAGTGACACTTGACACACAGCCAAGAAAGGTTACGTATGATGTAAAATCTGCACATATAAGGTCAAACACCTTAAGCAAAAACAACAAAAAAATAACTCATTCTTGAGTATATTAAATTCACTGACAAGTTCAGAAGGGAAACAACCAGTGGTAGATCTGGTGGTAATAGAAGTGAAAAAAAAATCTTCCAAGGGAGGCACCTATACGTTTGCAGTCAGTCACTGTCAAAGCATTAACTCCAGCTGCAGTAGACACTCTAAGATCTTCTCCCCAACTCTTGAATGAACTTTGTTTCACAATCCCCACAAGGCCGCATGCATCCCTGTTGCTTTTGCTCATTTTTTCCTAATACAAATTTCCTTCCAGTCAACTTTCCGTTGAAGTTCTTGGGTGACCTCACTGTGAATCATCATATTCTTTTTGAAGACCTTTTTGCAAGATTGACTCACTTGTGGAGTCAAGTCAGCATGCTTTCCACATGATGATGACCCGTAGCAGGATTGCAACATTTCTGTTAAATTACTCAATATTTCTTCATATTAGAATATTTGGTGTCGTTTCATTTGCTGTAATACATGAGCTTTAAAATCTACTGAAATATGTTGTTCTATTTGTAATGCATGCTTAAGTTTCCTTTAAACGAAGTGATTCTTTTTACTATAACATTCCCGATCCTCCGGTCCACAAGGTGGCGGTAATGACGAGACCATAGAAAACAAATCGCTCAGGTGTCTCGTGACGTCAGAACAGGCTGTTGTTGTTGACCACAGTGCGCTTTTTAGCATTGATCTTTGCGCTCTTTCCTCTCAATTGGCCTGTTTTTAAATTAATTCACCCTGTCATGGTGTTTACCTGCGTCATCCAGGGCTGCGGGAAAAGACCCGAGCCGTACGCGAGGAGCCTGCACGGATTCCCGAATAACCTGGAGACAATAAAAGCCTGGAACGAGTTCGTGAAGCGGACCAAACCGCACTGGAACGGCAACACTCCTTCATCGAGGATCTGCAGCGAGCATTTCCAGCCGACATGTTACAGAAACCACATGGCCTGGTCGATGGGATGCGTCAGGACCCTGGATCTGATCGATGACTTTCAGGTGCCAACGATTTATCCTGCTGTGGCTGAGAAAAATGCTCCATCGCCCACCAAGGATAATCCCAAAGCAGACATGCGCATACAGACCCCAGCAGGTAGATCCACCCTGCGAGCAGCAGAGGAGATAAAACAGGAGGAGGAAACGCACTGCTCAGGATCCACAGACACCCTTATACAGGTGACCTGCAAAAGTGTTATTGTTTAGACTTGGAAGATTTTTTTTTGTCTTCAATTGGTTGAAAATACCTCAGCCTGGTCAGTTTTTTTTATACTGCAAAAAGAAATCTGTCAAGTTTAATACAATTTGCACTGCTAAGTCATTAAACATTAAGTCATTTTAATGACTTACTTCAAAAACCATTATGCTTTAAATAGTTTGGGAAAGTTCAAATAATGGTGAATTTCAACAAGGTAGGTTGATTCAAATTTGAGTGAAATGGAGGCATTTCCTGAGTAGCTCCTCATCCCATCCTTGCATTTTGGCGTGCAAAGATGGAGGGATGTTCAATAGTCCACTGAACATTAAGCAGTTCAACCTTAGTGCGATCCTAACTTTCTGTGGGTCAGAAATGACCCACCCCAACAAAAGCCCCAAAATAAAGCAGCTTACTTCAATTTGAAATTCCAAATCTATTTTGCATGATGAAACAATCTGTCATTCATCAATTCAATCCATTTTTAGCATGGATTTTTTTTTTTTGCTGCACAAAATAAAAAGAGTTTTACGCTTTTCTTTTTACAACAAAACAACAGTCATAAGTTTTCTTTAAAGGTTTATTATTGTAATTATATAAATGTGAAGTAATTTCTGCTGACTCAGCTTTACTGAAACAGAAAAAGAGGCAACAATCTGTAACTTTTTTTGTCAACAGTTCATTCTTTGATACTGTTTAGCATGTCGATTATGAAAATACTTCTCTCATACAGCATCCTTCAACATATGTTGAAGATGTTTAACACAAGAGCTATTTTGGGGGCTTCAATACTAATTTTACATTTTGTCTCGACAGCTACAGTTACATAGCATAGCATGGGGTATTATTGACGAGTCGCGATAAGGGTTGTAAAATCTCCCTGTTTGTGTGGCTGTTTAGGGATGTCATGTAAAGACTGAGTACCAGGTGATGTACTTTGTAAGACATGCGGCGACCCAGACGGACCCTCCATCCATTGCCACAAACACACGATCAGTCGGCACACAGCTGACCAGGTTATCCCGAAGTACAGGTATGTTACTTTGCACAGAATGTGATTGTTGATGCTGTGAAATAATAAATATGAGAAGCAAAACTGATTCAGAAAGCTTGCTATTACTCTGACCACGTAACTCGAATAGTCTGTTGTTTTCACAGGTTCACAGGTGAAAATGGGTCGAGATTATGGTGTCTGTACAGTTCCCTTAAAAACTCCTCAGCTGCTCTTACAACCCACTTTGGTAAAAAGACCATCTAAGAGACTTCGATTTGCCCTGGAATATGAGGAGGAACTCATCACATCGACAGCAGTTCAGGTCAAAACCAGTTCATCGTGAACCTACGGACCGTTTGGGTGCAGCAGAGAATATAAAAGTATGTAGCCTTCGTGTTTGGTGTGGGGAAAAAGATTATCCAGCACCTTGTCATAAAGTTAATAAATGTGTTACACTTGCTTTATGCCAGTTCTGACTCCATATCTGTTAGTATCTGGCAAGCTAAAATGGACAAAAGCTGCTAGAATTTCCCTTCTTTTGGATTTTCTTCTGATATCAGATTGTTGGAAATCATCTGCAGCAACATCATTTATTGCTCCACTACTGCTTAATGGAACAATAAAATACTACATCAATGAATGGCCCCATCTCCAATTTTTGTGCAAATGGAGACCTTAAAGTTGAAACCATAAGTTTACATACAGCTGTTTTTTATAAAACGTGATTTCTAATCCTTCCATGTTTAAAGAGAGATCATTCTGATGTAAAATAAATGTGACACTTGCTATTGCAGCATTTGGCAAATATAAATCATTTTGTTAAAGACACTGCAACTGCGTTTTGGTTCAATTTGATATTACGCAAAACCGATTCATATATTTAAGGTTTAGACATCACTACATGATTTCAGATTTAATTTTTGTCGTTAGAAACATATTTAGAGTATTTCTAAGTACTTTTTGTCTTCCCAATGATGATGTTTTCTTCTACTGCCGGGAGGATCCGACATGCAGACTGGGTGAACACATCTTAGCTACAGCAGCGCTGAACTTATCCTCTAATCCAGTTGGTGGCGCTAATGAAGAGAAAGTACACAAACCTCGCATGTCTCATTGGTAGTTGTGTTTGCTGGGATTCTTCCCCTTGTTTTTTCTCTCAATTCGAGAGTTTTTTAGTGATTCCTTCCTCCAATGGTGTGTATCATATGTAAAGGGTGTAATGATAGAAATCACAAAATTCTAAGGTTGTGATCTGCTCCAATGTTAGATTTTGGCTCGTCATTTCCTGTTATAAAGTAATCTAATATTCACGGGTTGTGATAAGGGCTGTAAAATCTCCCCGTTTGTGTGGCTGTTTAGGAATGTCATGTAAAGTCTGAGTACCAGGTGATGTACTTTGTAACACATGTGGCGTCCCAAACCGACCCTCCGTCCATTTCCCCAAACACACCATCAGTCGGCACACAGGTGACCAGGATACCCCGACAAATTAAAGTTCAAACTACATGTATGTTACTTTCCACAAAATGGGATTGCTGCTACTAAAATAATACATTTGAGGAATAAAACTCATTCGGAAAACTTTCCGCTACTTCAACATTGTTATTTTTATTTTTAAACAGGCTCACAAGTGATATTTAACAGTCAACATCACATTATCTGCACAGACCCCTTAAAGTCACCACTGCTGCTCCTACAACCACCTCTGGTAAAAAGACCATCCAAGAGACTTCGACTTGAACTGGAATATGAGGAGAAAGCAGTTGAGGACAAGACCAGTTCAACATGAACCTGTGGACCATTCTGGTGCAGCAGTCATACCTCTTGGAACAGAGAACAAAAAAAGCAGATGTCCATGTAGCTTTTGTCTTTGGTGCAGGGAAAATATTTATTCAGCACCTTGTCATAAATGACATAAAACTAGGTTTTATGCCACCACTAGAAACTGCAATGCTTGCTGGCAATATGTATTGGATACATATTGCCCTTCCAATATGCAAGGCTGTGTTACTATTGCACAATTACTGCTGCATGTTTTGTAATGTTCACTGTGATAAAAACTACAAGAACTACACACATTTCTGTTCTGCAGAAGTCATGCGTTTCCGGTGGAAATGCTGAAGGAATCACCCAGATGAGTGTCACAATTCAGGAGTCTCAGCAAGTCCTGGAAGCTGGTGTGTGCAGATGCACTAAGACTTAGATCCCTCATTAGTTTGAAGTTTTGACCTTTTCATAAAGGCCCAGCTTTCCTTTTAATTTTTATGCCGTAGATTGGAGTTAGTAGAAACTTTTACATGATTGTTAAACTTCCTAATACTACCACAGCCACCTCACTATGAATTACTTGAGAAGTTGTTTTCAGTAGTTAGATATCACCTAAATATCTGCTTTATAAATAAGCAAATGAAAACTTTAAATTTTGCTTTGATGAGAATTAAAATATAAAATGCATGTTTGATAGGTTAGGCCCTACACCAGATTTAATATTTTTGCAAAATTTACTTTCCCCCAACTTTAAAATGCTAAATAATCTATTCTTAAATTATTTTCACCTGCTGAGCAATAAATGTAACATGCAATAATTTTACACAATGTTCTTAATTTTGTGGAAAATAATTTGTAGATGTGAAAAAGTGTGACAAAATGTTTGTCTTAATAAAGTAGAGGTTTTGCTTGGGTTAAATGTTTTCTTTTGTATTGTGGATTGGTCACAGTCTATTTCTGAATGAAAAGTTTCTATCCGTTTGGCCTAATTTTGCAACAATATCACAATAGGAAAAAAACTTGGCTGTGCATCCGTTCATTAATTAAACCTGCTTATCCGCATTGGCCATTAGAGACAGGCTTTCTCTAGTGGCTATTTACAGAGTCAGGATAAAAGAACTAGCTATTGCACTGAACATTTTCCATTCAAGAATATTGCCAGTAAAAATCTAAACTTGTTCAAGTATATTGGGCTTAATTCAACTTTACGTGCTACCCTTGTGCATCAGATTTTATGTTCTCTTGTTCAGCCAAACACTCGTGTTGTTTTGAGGACAACCAACTCATTCAGTAAAAGTGTAACCTGATTCAGGTTTTGAGAAATCTGACATTACGGCCTTCTGGGCAGCATGTCCTCCAGGTCAGCCACGACGTACGCAACCACGGCCCACAATGCTGAGCAGAGGTCCATGTCATGAGGGTCCTGGACTGACATGGTGTCTCCCTCAGTGTGGTGGAACCAAAAGTAACGACTGTCTTCCACATGAAGGCTGGCCCCTGTGTGCAACAAAGAATAATAGTCACACACACAGTAGTCACAAATCTGACCTGATACATGAAACAATTTCAAGTGTTTCCACAAATTCCCAATTTCATTTAGGTCAATACATTGACAAGCCAGTATTGCACATGAATATGCTTTCTTGTAAACTATTTTATTCCATTTATGTGTAAATCTTCCTGCTGGAATGCAAACCTCTGGCCCTTTGTCCAAGTATTTCACAGCGTTTAATAGACGTTCTTCCAGGATTGTCCAGTAGTTGGCTTAATTCATCTTAATCAACTCTGACCAGCTTCCAAAAATGCACATCCGCACAGCATGATGCTGCCACCACTCTGTTTCACTACGAGGACATTATGCATGTTCTGGTGTTGAGCAGTATTAGATTTCTAGGGGAAACACTTCAATTTCAACCAAAAAGACAACACTCTTCCAGATGTTTGCAACATGAGTTGTGGCAAACGAATTGGGATTTCTAATGGATTTTTCTTGCTAATCCTCCACAATGGTGTGACCTGTGGAGTACCTCTTTTTGAATTTATTCTCAACATAAAATGTACATGTGCACATACTTTTAATGAGCGATTTGCATTTCGCCTTCATAGTTATTTGAAAAATTCATGGGAAGGCTCCAAAAAGCAAGTAAAACATCAAATCATCCAGTCATACACATAGAGTATGTAACTGGCTACAGAGCCACATTTCCCTTTCCCTGTGGAAGTGGAGGTCACGTGTTTCCGGCGGAGATGCCCTACATTGTTTGCAGGCATGGCCCAGACGGAAAGACGCTGCATTCTGAACTGCGATGCTCAACAAATCAGGTTCGGACTCCCGGAACGCGCCGACCAGAAGGAGAAGTGGTTGCGGTTCATCTTCAACAGCGTCCCCAAGCAGCACCAGCCCGACCTGGTGTTGTGTGCGCACCATTTTACGAAAGGCTGCTTCCTGAACTGGTCCAAGTGGTCGGAGAAGCTGCAGCTGAGAGACGGAGCGGTTCCGACGCTCCGGAACCCGTATCACGATCCGGGAGTGTATGTAAGTGCAGGAAGCTGGTGTGTGCTGGTAAAAAGCCTGCAAGGTGTGCAGATGCACCAAGCTTCGCGCGAGCTCGCGTCTGCCAATCAGACGAGTGAATCGTGTGCAGCGATTCGTTCCACATGACGCGCATTTAATGTGCAAAGATAGACAACCCTCGTTAGTTTTAATGAAGTGTTTCTTTCATTTATATGTCAGATTGAGTTGTAACAGTATTAACTTACTCATGGTGGTTAAACGAGCCAAATAACACCATTCACTTAGAAATACTTCACCTTACTTCAGGTGAATTACTTGGAAGTAGGGGTGAGCGATATAGACTTATTTTTAATCACGATAATTTGTGATACTATTGTGATAAATAGTCACTTTTACCGTTATCACTTCTTTTCTAGTGCATGGCTGTGATTGCATGACATTAAACAATGAGATTGATAATTGATAATATATCAATTATATTTAAGAACATTAAATTGAACACTGAATAGTAAAAAGTGTTTTTTTTAACATTGACATTTATTGTGACAATAAATGTCAATGTTGAAAGGGCCAAAATGTTGCGAACTTTTTCTTTTGCTGGCCAAAATTGTGTAATTTTGTTTTCCAAATTTAAATTGCTAAATATTGTCATTTCAGTTTAGTTTCTTTTCACATACTCATGTTGAATACATTTAACATGCAAAAATGTTATAAAGTAAACTATTTTATAGAAAATATAAATTGTCGTAAAAGTGTCTGAGATGTCTAACTTTTTGGATTGAATTACTGATCGTTGAGTGAAAATCTTACTGTGGAAATGTACACAAACAGTATCAATCAGCTCTGTTTGGTTTAGGCCCAAATTCATATTATTCTTAAACCAGTCTGGAAAAGCATAGTGTTTATTTTTAATATTTTCTGTCTGGATGGATAGTTGGAGGTGACTCAGTTAATATGAGCTTGATAAGAAAAAAATAGTTTCTTACTACTGACTATTGCTTTATGCATGTCCACAGCGTTTACCAACTGAGTGTGATGTGTTATTCAAATATATAACATAATGCTGACCAGTTTGTCATTTGTTTCAATATTTAGGAATATCGTGTGAAAACCATATGTGAGCTGGCATCTGCTGTAAACCATGTGGCCTCCCAGACTGACCCCCTAACCACAGAAACGCGAGCAGTCGGCGCACGCCTGCCCATCGCATGTCCTAACAGCTTTAAAAGCACAGGTTTGAAAATTAACCTTTCAATAAATCGAAACGATGAAGCTTGCTGGTGTTTCAGACGATTGTCTTCAGCGTTTGTTTTAAACATTGTTAATTTGTGTCGCAGGTACCCAGGTTGGAGTGAAGAGACGAAATTGCGGTGTTTGTACAGAAACCATCACCTTAGACAGCCCCCTGCTGCTCCTGCAGCCTGGAAAAAGGCCGAAGGAGAGACCATCCAAGAGACCTCGACTCCCAGCAGAGGAGGAGTTGGTGGTTTCCTCAGAGAGCAGCAAATCCAGCTCAACATGAACGACATCACGCTGAGGTGCAGCAGATGTCTTACTTCCGAATCACGGTTCTTAACACGCAGAGCATTTTCTCTTTGGTGCTGCAACACCTCACCTTGAAAAGCCACGTGAGGCTTATTTGCACAATTTTTCACACTGATACTTCATGCCTTGCCATCTGCCCCGACCTGTGAGGCACAGAAGCTGTCGGGACCCAGAGCCGTGTCTCGATTTGATTTCTGATCTCATTGATTTCCTGGACCGAAGCTGCAGAGGTAACTAAGAAGCTGTCTTTTTGAGGGGAATGACTCCACAGAGACTAATGCACAAAGAAAAGAAATCACACTATGTTGACACAAAGTTTTGAAATAGCTAAGAAATTGCAGTTTGGATTAAAGAGTGCCAGAGCTTGTTACCAACTCTATGGCCTTTGGCCAAATTTGACTGTGTAATGTGATTTGTGAAATAAATATTTCATTGCCACCTTTATTCTGCAGTGCATGCCTTTGCCTTTTTTGCTTGAAACGAGAGAGATGTCAAAGCAACCGCCTGCACAGCATCATCAGTGCCAAACATCTACTGATCTTAAAAATGTTTTTAAATTGTGTTTCTGTTTGCTCTTCACACTTAACAGTTGCCTGTAAACAGACAGCATTTCTGTAATAAAAAAACACTTAAATATGCTGCATGTTTATACCAATCAGTCTGGTATGAATAGAAGGGATTCATACATTTGAAAAAAGAAAAAAAAAAGAGGACAATGTGTGAAAATATTGAATGAATAAAATTTTGGAGTTTCGGACCAAGTAACTGCTAAATTATTGAGATTGGTCAAAGTTTTAAAGGGGTAATCCTAAAGTCCTGATCTCAGTTCCATAAAAAATTCTGGGGATAATTTATCTTGACTGGAAATGACAGGAATATTCCACTTGCAAATTGGGCCTAAGTTTAGATCGCTCTTAAATGAAAAATGTTGCAATTAAAAGACTACTTTCTTCCTTTAAAGTGCCAGAAACAATGACTTTAGGGCGATACTAATTTAAATTGTTTAGATTTTATGTGTGGAAAAGATTAATGTGTGGAATTTGTACAAAAAGGTGTGAACATTGTTATTGAGGCCTGGAATACCAACTCCATGCAAATAATCAGAAACAAAACAGCAGCCAGCCCCGAAAAACCTGTTCAGAAAATCATTGAATCTGACCAAATAAGACTGATCTGAACAGACTGTATTATCTGTACTCCACCCTCCTTTCTGGACTTTCCAAAACGTTTTTTTTTTCACCCAACAATAACACAGCGACTATCCTAGAGCAGAAAGGAAGAGAGGGCTCGAGGTTTGCTGCTTATCTCTGGCTGTACATTCAGAGCGAATTGTTCCTGTTTCAAGAAGTTTATTCTTGCTTAAAATATATTTGAAGGACAAAAATAACTAATTATGGTTTAAAGATCAGAATATCTTCATTAATACTTACCCTGTGTGAATAGTCTTACAACCATCTTTTCTAAATTGTTTAATTTGAAATTTTAGTTTTCCCTTTGGCTTGTATTACATGTATAATATTGAGTAAGTGAACGGGCCGATTGCAGCGTCGCTGAAGAAAGTAATGCTAAAAAATGCCTTTTGATCGAGATGCTGAAATTTTTAAAATGTTCCATAAGGAAAGTTCTTGTGATGTGATTCTCTTTAT